GATTGACATAGCTAATGAGCTCTCTGAAGAAGTGTGGGTTGCTGTGGAATTTGGTTCTTTTAAAAAATTATTTTGTTGTGTGTATATCCCACCTGCCTCAAATGCACAACAATATGACATCCACAGTACCGCAGTTGAACGTGCGGCGCAAGAATATCCAGAGTTCGGTTTGTGTATTGCAGGTGATTACAACCTACCAAAGCTTGCATGGACCAATGATTCCTTGGGTACTATGACCACCGGGTACTGCCCTGCAGCTGAGTCAATCATAGAGACTTTTCCTTTCCTCAATCTCTGTCAAATAAATACCATTCCTCGTACCATTCGGAATGTTAACGGTGTACTTCTTGACTTAATTTTTTGTGATAATTGCTCTGATTGTGTGGAACTGATAGACGATCCATTATTGAACTGTGATAGGCATCATCCTGCTTTATTAATTAATGTTAAATGTGATACTGTCTGTGATTTTTTAGAATTTGAAGATGAAATTTATGATTTTTGTAAATGTAATTTTAATGCAGTTAGTGAAATACTGCTGAATATATATTGGGATGTAGTTTTAGATTCTTGTATCAACAGTGATATAGATTTATTTTATAATGTTGTTTGTCAAGCCATTGAGTTGCATACACCAAAGAAAAAAATTAAAAATAAGTTTAAATTCCCAATATGGTTTAGTCCTGAATTGAAAAATCTCACTATTGAAAAAAAAAGGCTCATAAAAGATACAAACATAATTGTTATAGCTTGGAAGATTACAATTATTTTAAACAGCTGAGAGCTGCTTGTAAGGTTCAAGCAGAAAGATGTTATTTTGATTATATTGAGAGAACTGAGCATAATGTATTAAAAGATCCCAAAAATTTCTGGAAATACATCCATTCTAAAACTCATTCTAGAGAGTTGCCACCCACACTGCATTATCAGGGGGGCGTGGCGTCTGATGGTGAGGGCATTGCAAATCTCTTTGCAAGGCACTTTGCATCGGTCTACGCGTCTGCTGGTCCTACGGGTAATGTGAGCAGTTGTGAACTTGTTGCTTTTCGAGACATGGTACATATCAATAAGTTATCTATTAACATTGGTGAAGTTTTCAATAAGCTGAATCACATCAATGTAAATAAAGGTCCAGGACCTGATGGAATACCTCCAACATTTCTTAAGAACTGTGCACTAGCCTTATCTAGACCCTTGTGGCTGTTGTATAATAAATCATTGTCTGTTGGAGTTTTTCCAAAATATTGGAAACTATCTTTTGTATGTCCGATTTTCAAAAACTCTGGCAACAAGGAAGATGTTGAGAATTATCGCCCTATTACATTATTGTCTCATTTCCCAAAGATATTTGAATCACTGGTAAACGATTTTTTAACTGAAAAACTTAAAAATATAATAATTCCAGAACAGCATGGTTTTACCAGTGGTCGATCTATAACAACAAATTTGCTAGTGTATGAACGAGCCATATTGGGGGCCTTGGAGGCCGGTCAGGTTGTAGATTCTATCTATACCGACTTCTCCAAGGCCTTTGATACGGTGAGTCATGCATTGTTGATAGAAAAACTTTCCAAATATGGTGTATGTGGTTCACTTCTTCAATGGCTGTATTCTTATCTTGTAGACAGAAGCCAGATTGTAAAGGTGAAGTCATTTCAATCTGAGGTTATCAGTGTTACTTCTGGGGTGCCTCAGGGGGGTCATCTTGCACCACTCCTGTTCTGCTTATTTATCAATGACATAGGGTCTTGCTTCCATCATGTCCAATTTTTGTTATATGCCGATGACTTGAAAATTTTCAAGAGTATAAATCAAGAAGGCCCAGACAGGGGAATGCAGGATGATCTTCTGAGGTTCCATGAGTGGTGTGTTGAGAACGAGATGACATTGAATGGCAAGAAATGCAAATATATTCAGTTCTCTAGGAAAAATTCTCCCAAACTAAATGACTATTATATAAATGATAATGTTATTGAAAATGTTTCTAGTATTCGTGACCTAGGTGTTGTATTCGATGCAAAATTGTCATTTTCTGAACACATTTATGCATGTTGTAATAAAGCATTGAAAATGTTGGGTTTTATCAAAAGACACACAAGAGACTTTAAGAATGTTTCTGCTCTCAAGTGTTTGTATGTGTCTTTGGTTCGTTCCCATCTTGAAAATAATAGCTGTGTGTGGTCACCACATTATAAAATTTATGTTGAATTAGTTGAACGTGTACAGAGAAAATTCTTGAGATACATAGGGTACAAAATGGGAATACCTTCAGATTTTATTGATCATGGTCAGCTTTTGCAGAATTTGTCATTGGAAACATTGGAGCATAGGCGTAGAAAATTTGATCAGTTATTGATTTTTAAGTTGCTCAGAGGTTATCTGAATTGCCCTGAGTTGCTCTCGGCTGTAAACTTGAATGTCCCAGTGAGGAATTTTAGAGCTGTGCGCTGTTTTTCGTTGGAGAGACATCGTACCTCTTATGGCCAACACACAACCATTAATTGGGCTATGTCTTATGCCAATGAGATACAGGTGGACATATTTGCTGCATCTTAAATAAATAAATAAATAAATTCTTTATTTACGGACATGCCATTTTTACAAAGGTAGACTTAAAGTGTAGGTACACGCAATAATAAATATTTGGAATAACAAGTAGGCAACAGACAAGTTAGTATAAAAAAACAATATTACATAAGCCTAAACAAATATTTTGTAGTAGGTATCAAAACATAAACAACATAATACGCTTAAAATTGAATACAAATAGAAAAAACGATCATTTTAGGATCGACTTTAAAATTCTTTTGAATCTATCCAAACTTATGTTAAAAACATCCAAATCAGTCTTCAAAATAATATCATTCAGAGAACGACAGCTTCTAAGTAAAGGTGAATGGTAACCATAATTGGTTCTACAAAAATCAAGGTTAAACAATGTGTTTCCTCTTAAATTGCTAGATGGTACATGTAAGCCAATTCTAGCAAGTAAGTCTGGAGAATCAATAGAATTATTAACAATCTTAAACAAAGTACACATATCAAAAAACTGTCGCCTCTGGTTCAGATTTTCAAGATTTAGGACAGACATTAACTCATTATAATTTATAGATTCACTTGGGATGCCCAATCGATATGCAATGGATCTTAAAAACTTTTTGTGGATTCGTTCCAAGTGGGAGATGTGCACAGCATAATAAGGGGACCAGACAGGGCAAGCATATTCTACAACTGATCTAACAATTGCACAATAAATGTTTCTTAGGGTGTAGATATTAGTAAATTCTTTTAGTGACCTGAACATAAAGCCTAGTAATTTCATTGCTTTATTAGCAGTTATTTCAATGTGCTCTGTGAAGCTTACATTAGTGTTGAAATAGACTCCCAAGTCTCTAATAGTTTCAACCCTGTTAATCTCCAAATCATTAAGAACGTAATTATGTAAGTAAGGTGTTTTTTTCCGAGAAAAAGTAATAACCTTACACTTCTCAACATTTAAGGGGAGTTTGTTTCTTTGACACCAAGTCCGAAACATATCCAAGTCCACTTGCAATATCCAAGTCCACTTGCAATAATTGATATTTAATGATTTAATTTTATTATTAATTTCAACTTTAATTATCTTTGCACCAAATGAAGCTATCACTGTGATATTGTTTTGTAATCTAGTGATTTACTCTGTGATCTGTTTTTGGCTGTTTTTTGTTGTCCTTTCAATTTTTTAATTTAAAAATAATTTATTGTCCTCTTTTTAAAATTTTTATTTATATGTGGTTTGTTATTAGTATTAATATTATTATCGTGGCAATATTTGTAAAATTAAGCCGCTGCCCGTTGGAAGCGAAAATAAATAAATAAATAAATAAAATAACCAGTGATTACTATTAGTGTAATCTGATAAACAAAGATTTTCCATCCATGTCGAAATCCTCATCTTCGTGGCCCTTCTAAGAAGCTTGAAAAGGCAAGATCATCAAAACTACCTAGGAAAAACTTTATAGTAAACTGTGAAGTGCATTCTTGGAATTTGCTTTGCCAAAATACTGTGTCCGCATAAAACACTGAGCCAAATACAAATACAGTACAAATACAGTACAATACAGTACAATCTCGATAATCCGAACAGCGAACGCTCAAAGGCATAATCCGAACAAATCTTGAAAATCCGAACAACTGTTGAAAACCGCATTACGCTACGCGCGCTACATAAAATTTAATACGTAATAATGTTCTCAAAGCCGGACCAGAAGAATCCAAAGAAGAATTTGAAGAAATCGTCCCGACCAACGTGACTCACAGAGAAGCAGTAAAATGTTTTCAGACTTGTTTAAAATGAGCAGAACAATATTCTGAAACAGCTGAGGACATTTTTATTCTAAAGCTCGGTTTATTCATCTTCCTGGTACGTAACTATCTGCAAGATGAAATTACCATTTTATAATTCTATTGGTCGGCGGATAACTGGCCGACCAATGGGATTACAGATTGCCTTTTTATCCGTCAGATTGCATACCTGACAACTTATCATAAGGTGAAAAAACCGGCCCTCAAAGAAATGAAAAAGAAGGCGGAAATGGGAGAAGCAGCCAGTATGAAGCAAAAAAAAAGTACATTACATAATTGTTTTACTTGTCTAACCTAAGTTAAACTCAGAGTTAATTACGTACATTTATATTTGTCTTAAAAAATAAAGCTAATTTTTGATTATTTGCATATTTAAGGTAAATTTACCATGCATTTTGATAATCCGAACAAATCGGTATTCCGGACTGACCTTAGCAATAATTAGTGTAACAATGGCTTCATCAATTTTGACCACCTGCTATTGTAATTCTCATAATAATAATAAAAAAATAATAATAATAATAATAAAATAATCAACAGTAATAAAGTGGTTGACTGTAAAAATTTTGTTGCCGGCGCTGGCAACAAGGAGCTCACTTTACAAGGGTCTATGCTATTAAAGGAAAAATATATTTTTTTTTGATATGATTAGGTACCTTTCAGTTTTTCATATTCTGCCATCGCTTCTCTTTCATCAACATCCTCAGTTTCCCTTTCCTCGGTTTCAGTTATCAGCTCCCATTCAGGAAACAAAATTCCAGCGTCAGTCTTCAATTGTGTCTGGCCTTTGGAACATTGATTCTTGTGCCCATTCCTCCAGTGAATCAGTTGATGGTCCTTGCAACAATACCAAACCATTTTGCATTGACCACAACGTTTATTCGCCTTAATTCCACATGAATTGCACACCTCAACCCACTTTGTGAGAAAATCTGGATCTGGCTTTTCCACAGGTGGTTCTGATGAATAAAAATCATTATCTCTTGGTAGTGAACTGCGTAGTACTTTCACAGTTTGGCAACTCGAAGTGCGACAAACAAATACGAAAATTGTGCGATGAAAATTGTTGTCGAGGTTTTCTGGGTCTGTGGTTTCGGGTTCATAAGGGGCATACAATTGACACAAGAAAATAAGGGTTTTCTGGCATTTATTGCACGTTAGGTCTTCTTCTCCGTTGGGTAAAGGTTTCAAACTTAACCAGGCTGGTTTTCCACCTACCTTGCTGGGAAATAATGGACTTTCTAGTTTCCAACTTTCTTCGCAATGCTCTAGGAATCCAAGCTCTACGTTTGGCATCGTGGAGATTTGTTGTAGTAAGTAAGGGTAATTATAAAATTTAGATTAATGATATAAAAACTTGTGAAAAAGCATGGAACGGAATGGAAAACGAGAACGACTAACAAATTGAAAAAAAAAAAACAAGGTTAGGAAAACAAAGAAAACCAAAACAAAAAGTTAGGTTAGAATGTTTAAGGGGATTTCATTTGACTACACTCTTCCTCTTCCTATTCTGACATTATATTATTAACGAATGTGGTATAGATAAGTTTTTAGTTTTTAATGTATTGTAAAATCTGTTTTAGTTTTAAAGATAAAAGTCAAACTGACGTTATGTTGGCAATACAATGTAAAATTGTCAATGCTTTCAATTTTTTTATGTAGAAAAGGCTTATGTTGCCAACAAGTTACTAAATTTTTGACTTGGGGAATTATCTTTAAAAAAAAAACAAACTTTACATGAAAAAGTTATTAAAATTATTATGATCGTTGATTGAGGAAGTAGGGGAAGATGCCTAACCTTATGGAAAATAAAAAGACCAATAAATGTTTTCGTCGTTAGGAGCGCTCGCGTCATCCATCTCTTTTCCTAAACATGAATTAAATTTTTAAAATGTCAAAAAGATTTCTGTAAATGCATGTCTGCTATGAAAATGCGAAACGGCAACACTGTAGCACCTGTAGCACAATAGTTGCATTCCTTTCACACCTAGGAGGAGCTCCGGAACAGCTCCGGCTCCGGGGCTTCACGCGCTTATTCCTTTCGAAAAGTATTTGATGCACCACAGATCTAATCCTTACGAAATCGGGGGCGAGTGAACACCGGAGTGGTTTCAAACTCTTGAAAGGAATACAACTAGTACCGCAAGCACTTTATCGATTGCTAGGCCGAGTTCGGCTTTACACTTGGTGGACTCCGAACGCGTTCGAAACGATAAGACCCAGTTCGTTTTAGCTCTCAGAGTGTTCTCTTTTGCGTTCGGGTTACAATCGAGCCCGTTGTCACTTTTGAAAAATTATAACCTAAAATATTTAAAAAAAAAAAAATCGGTTTGCGTTGCGTTTCCGTTTTTTTTCCCCGATTTTTTAACTTTTATTTCAGGTCCATTACTAATTTACCTACTCGTTAATTAGTGAAACAAAATTAATATCGAAGCAAAAGCAAAAAAAGCAATTTTTTTTGAGATTATTGACAAATGTGACAAGGGTTTCAGGATTTTTTTTCCTTCGATTTGCGTTCGGCCACAGCCCCGTTCGGCTTATGACCTCTTGCTCCAAGGCGCACTTTGCTGCAAGCTTAGGTACAAACCGACATAGCAACAATAGACAATTTTTTGCTAAGATAATCAAGCATACTGAGTATGCTGTGTTATGTGATATGTTAATTGTGTCATACTCCCCACCATCAAATTCTGGGATAATCGAGGATCAAGAACACTCAATTTCTTCAGAGAGAACAGACCGAAAATCACCTTTTCTACATTTGAAATCGACGGAAAAATTAACTGACTAGCACAGCTTGAATAGCAAGCATTCCATCGAGGGCTGCGGGTGACGTCATCATTCCTTGCCTTCGGTATTGTGCTCAAAGAGTAGAGCGTGCAGAGCGAAGCCATAATCACGTGACCAGCGAGCGAACAGAGCATTTGAACGCTGTATCAGAGTGCCCGAAATTTTTATAAACGAACGCGAATGAGCCTACACCGAGTACACTTTTAAAATAAACGAACGGTAAATTCAAGCTCGGGAACTCAGATCAAAATACCGAAGGCACGGATTATAAGCTACTGATAGTGACGTCACTCGCAGGCCCAGAAGTTGATGGAGAGGGAGTAGGGAAGTATTACACACAATTGACACATCACATAACCCAGCATACTCGATTATACTCGATTATCCTCGCGAAAAATTGCCTAATAAACCGATAGGGTTTTAAAATAAAAATTGTTACGCCCCTAGGGTTTTCGACAAATTGAAAATTATTTTTGCCTAATTTCCCACAAATAGGTATCCCGAGTTTTTCTTGTTCTATGTTAAACGTCACGAGATAAAAAATAAAAATCAATGTATTGTTTGAAAAATCTTGTTGTTGGATACACCACTCTAGTTGTATTCCTTTCACACCTAGGAGGAGCTCCGGAACAGCTCCGGGGCTTCACGCACTTATTCCTTTCGAAAAGTGTTTGCTACACCACGCATCTGTTCCCTGCAAATCGGGGGCGACTAAACACCGGAGCGAGTAGCTCAAGTGCTTGAAACTCTTGAAAGGAATACAGCTTCTGTTGACAAAATAAGAGTCGCTCTAGGTCCGGTCCTGTAAAAGTGGAACTCAAACGTATTTTTTAGAATGATGCTTGAAAAAATCGCAAACACTCTCTGAAAATTTGAACAAAATCGCTAAAGGCATTTTGAATCTAGGCAACAAGTCTAAATTTTCCGAAAATCTCAACACCCTGTATTTTCTTAACGAGACGTTTGAGGACACATGTACCTATGCAAAGAGTGATTGTCCTATTAGTACTCTATCTATCATAACAAAATGCTCACTTATTTCGGACTCACCCTGGAGTGCGTTTAGAAATGGAGTGTGAAGGTAGAGTAGTTGTTTGTCAGAGTAATCTGACGTCATCACTTAGAGTGCACTCTGGGGGCGCCTTTTCTGAACGTCATTGGGGTGTTGCGTTAAATGTCAACGTCAAACCCGGTAAAAACATGGGCGTTTTTCAACCCAGTCCCTGAGTGGCCTAATTTGGGCACACTCTGGGCACGTCAACTCTCGATTTCTGAACGATTCCAGCGTAAAGCCTAGGACATAACTGCGAAATTCGCATTTTTTTGACATTGCTTCGACAATTTGACGTTTGATACACGCATAAAACGTCAAATTGTCAACGAAATGTCAAAAAAATGCGAATTTCGCAGTTATGAGTACTAGGCTTTTAATTGGATAAATTTAAATAATTTTAATTTTGCTCTATGAAAGTGTTGCCTGTCGAGCAAGGACAAATGAAAACGCTACTGTGGCGGGGCAGACAACATTTGACATTTTGTTTGAGGTTTGAGGTTAGGACTTTTGTTTTGATTCATTTTGGAGGGAAAATTTTGTGTGTTGCCTTGCAAAACAAAAATAAAAAAATGCCTCAGATTAAAATAGAACGTGTGCTCAGTTTTACCAGCGAAGATCCCGTAAGCATTACCTCATTTATTTCACATAAAATTAAAAAATCTCTTGATTATTAGACTCACAATGCAAACAATATCCTATCAACAGACAGCTCAAAGAAATGGAAATGCAAAACTGCAGGCGAGCAAAGCGCCTCCGTAGTCCTACAATTAGACCAGCCCTACAATATAAACGGCATTGACATTGGCAATGAAAATTCAGCCTACGTTGAAGTCTTAGTAGCCCGTTCCAGCACCCCTGAGGATTTTAAAGTTCTTCTAGTTATGTCCTCTTTTATGAGTCCAATCGAAGCACGACAAAGTCAAAACATCAATAAAGTAAGAATGTTCAAACAGGCCGATTTGTCACAACCAGAACGAGATGAGAAATGGGATAGAGTAAAAATTGTCTGTACACAACCATTTAACAGACACCTACAATACGGGTTGAGTTTTGTTAATTTGTATTATTCAGATGGTAAAAGTTTAGAAAAACCTAAAACACAAACTACAATAGGCAAATTCACCCTTAGGCCTGAGTCACCCGACAATATATCCATAGGCAGTTTGTTTGCTAGGAAAAAACTACAGCCTGAAAACAGTGGGGAGTTGAAGGGAGCTGCTGCAATTAGAGAAGCTACAGCTTTGGCACATACAGGTTCACCTGCAACAAAAAAAATTAATTTAAATCTTCCTAAGACACCTAAACTACAACAGAAAATTACTAATAAAGATGACGACGATGATGATTCTGGAAAGAAAAGGCAAGAAAGGCACAGGAATGAGTTACTTTATAGTAAAGATGAAGAAGATAAACATGATAAAATTGATAAGTTAATTAAGCAAAAGGAGGAGGAGAAGCAAAATGAAGAGGAAAAGGAAACAATATTGCATAAACAAAAGGATACTCCAAGCAAAGTCACCGAAAAGAAAAAAGGTAAAACTCCCAAGAAAACCCCTGTTGCTACAACTTCAACTAAACCTGAAACACCAAAACCAAAAGAGACTCTAAAAAGAAAACATGACAATTCAGAAGAACAGAAAATTAAGAAACCGAAAAAAATTGCTGCAGTAAAGCCCTTGGAAAAACCTGCAGGAAAACCCTTCGCAAAATTACTAGAAGATGTTGTTTTCATAATAAGTGGAATTCAAAATCCGGACAGGGCAAGCTTGAGAAGCATGGCTCTGTCGATGGGCGCCAAATACAAGAAGGAATGGGATGGCACTTGTACGCATTTAATTTGTGCCTTCGCCAACACACCAAAGTTTAATCAAGTTAAAGGAAAAGGTAAGAATTGGGCAAGCAATTGGTGCTTTCCATATTTTTCGATTGTATTTTTTTCTAATTTTGAAACATTTTGAGAAATCTTGTGAGAACATTTTTTAGATACAATGCAGACTGTTTCATTTTATGTTACATTGACCTCAAGACAATTTTAAACTGAAAGGTTGGGGATTTTCTCAAATACCCTGGTAGTGCTAACTTGATATCATGTTAGCACTACCAACGTCACCCGATGTTCCCACAGAAGTTTTATTAGGTGAATAATTTGTCGTGCAAAAAAAATTGTCGCGTTTTTCTTTTTCTTTAATATGTACCCTGGTAGTGCTAAGTTGATATCAAGTTAGCACTACCAACATTACCCGATGTTCCTACAGAAGTCCCTTTAGGTGAATAATTTGTAGTGCAAAAAAAAAAAAAAAATTGTCATCTTTCTCTTTTTTCTTAAATACTCTGGTAGTGCTAACTTGATATCAAGTAAGCACTAGCAACGTTACCCGATATTCCTACAGAAGTTTTTTTAAGTGAATAATTTGTCGTGGCGGTCCATAGATGATTTTCTGGGGGGGGGGGTAATGGATGATGGGAAAATCATCAAGTGCGGAACGGCTTCCCGCCGGAGGCTAAATTTTTTTTGGGGTGCCACACCCAAATTTGCACCTGAAAATCGTTTGAAACACCACAAGCAAAAATGTATCCCGATGCCGGCAAAATAGTTATACAGGGCGTCCACTTAGTAGATCTTCTTTCAGGGTAATGCAAGAAAAACAAATTAAATTACAAAGTTGTTTGATACTCTAAGGTCCATCAGTTAAAAATATTTTTGAATATACAGGGTATTGCGTAAATTAGGTATATGACAGACCTTTTTTATTTTAAATGGACCACCCTACATTTTAGAACATGGATTGTTCTAAAAATCTTACATACTTTTTTTTAGGAATTACCTATACTAATGGGTCAATTCTGTGCACATCTATGAGCAAATCTGACAATTTGCAACTATGCACTCCCTGACCCCTGTAGATCACAGAATACCTTATAAGATCGTAAATATTTCCGATCGGGTGTTTGGCAATCGATGCATTTTGCAGTATCTATATAGGCTTATAGATATGCTCAGAGATGTGCAGAGAATTGACTCGTAAAACTCGACCCTTTTCGAAATATTTTTTCAAAAAATCGCAGTTTGCATGTGTCAACAAGAACCAACACATTTCATTCATTTAAGAGCCCTAAGCTAAATCTTATGCAGGTTGTTTGTGTATACTCATACATTTACTTCATGGTCCTATGAAAATCTGTTAACATTCTACAGGGTGTTCGCAATACTGAAACTGTATACAAAACCAAACATTTCAAACAACCATTGCTTTTTTTTTAAATGAAATATCCTTTATTTCACTGTATAGGTAGTAGTAGGTACGTCGATACTGGTGAACCTATCAATTTATACAATGCCTTCTATGCTTTACTTTATAGAACTTGTTTTTTGTTGAAATTTTATTCTTAAGTGTATAAAAAAAATCTTTTTGGGGGGTAATTACCCCCTCTACCCCCCCTTTAAACCGCCCTTGCGTGCAGCAAAAAAAGTTGTCGCGTTTTTTTCTCTTTTAAATACCCTGGTAGTGCTAGCTTGATCTCAAGTTAGCACAAGTTAGCAAAAACGCGACAATTTTTTTTTTTGCACCACAAATTTACGACAAAAAAGCGACAAATGAATCACTTAACGCCATTTTCCGGCGTGCATGTGGTATTGCTAATAGACTGAGATAGGGCCTGTTTAGTGGAGTCATTTTTTTTTGTCTGGCATTTTGAGGGATGAATGTGACTAGTTAGCTGATGAGAATATAAGTGGTTTTAATTCCTGCCTCCTGTTCGAAATGTCCACAGAATGTTTCGCCGGAAAACTCGATTTCGAACTGTGATTACCGTCTGGCGATTTTTCAGCGTTATTTCCACAACAAAACCTTTCATTCTCTCGATTGCCAGACAAAAAGGAAACATGGAAGGTTCTTTTCTTTACTCTTGGAAGTTGACACCAGAGTTGACACCCATCCCCATTTCTTCAGCTATTGAAAAGCATCTGATATTTCTCATGGGTGAATTATTTATCAATGTCAATCTTTTATTTAAAAGCTAGAAAATTTGAGATCATTAAAAAAAAATTCTTCATGTGAATCAATTTTTTCCTTTTGCAAATTTTCGAACGGGAGGCCGAAATCAAAATCACCCATATTCTCATCAGCTTAGTAGCCACATTCAGCCCTCAAAATGCCAGACAAAAAAAAAATGACTCCACTAAACAGCCCCTATCTCACAGTCTATAACTGGATATAGGTGACTTTCTCTCCACAAGATTGTTGTGTCGTCTGCAAACAATGTACAACGAACACTTATTTCAAAATATACAATGTCTTAAATAATAGAAATAGGAGCAGGCCAAGCTCTGAACTCTGTGGCACTCCATAATCAATACCAAGTGCATTAGATTTAGTTGTACCACACTTTACCACTTGATTCAATTCAATTCAATTTATTGATGAGTACATACAGAAAAGTACAGGGCAGCCATAATGGCGTTGATCACAAATCACACCTAATTTTACAACAATATGACTAATAATACAATAATACAAAAACAATGACTGCCCAGCAAGAATACTGAGCTTACATAAAATCATTGAGCTAAGCAATAGCAGTTATCAGTTTTTTTTTTTATCATCAGTTAATAAAATAAAATAAAACAAAATAAAAAATTATCAGTAAGACTGTCAGTACATATTCAATACAGATAAGACCACAAAGTTAGAAGTATCCAAGACAAACCCGCAGGTACAATTCAAAAAAAGACAAAGAAGTGACCAGGAAACATCCCAGGCAATCATTGAAGAGTAAGCAGCCTTGGCACTGAATTCCGAAAATATTCATCGAAAGAATAATTTGCAGAGGAAACCAACACATCCCTTATTTTTTTCCTAAATTGCCCAATTGGCAGTTATCTAATATTAAGAGGTATTGCATTATACCAAGCTCTACCCAAATGAAAAACTGACCTCCTAGTAACTTCCATCTGAGACTGGGGTAAACTTAAACTATATCTATTTCGAGTTTTGCAAAAAAATTAGGCTTTCAAAGATAATTAGGTCATACCCTGTAAGAATCTGCAACCTTTGAAACAGTGGTTTGCAGTGAGCTAGCCGATCAGCATTTGAAATTATTCGTACTGCTCTTTTTTGTAAAATGAAAACATAATTAAGTCGCGTAATTGTTGCATATCCCCAGAACACAAGCCCATATCTCAAGTGGGACTCAAAGAGAGCATAATACACTTCTAGTGATATAGCTTCGTCACCCAATTCTTGTGAGGCAGATCTAATAGCATAAGTAGCAGATGCCAAATTTTTTGACAGCTTATTTAAGTGATTTTCCCATTTCAGGGAACTATCCAGTACAATTCCCAAAAATGTATAGTCCGTGGCCTTATGAATAGCATTAGTATCTATTTTTAGGGAGATGTTTAAATTTTTATTGAAAGTCATAAACTTGGTTTTGTCGGTGTTGAGGGCTAGTTTGTTTGCATCAAACCATTGCTTAATTGATGCCAGATCTGTGCAGATAACTGTCTGTAAGACCTCTGGATCGTCTCCCATCCAGCAAATTGAAGTGTCATCCGCAAACAAAGTGAAACTGCCTGCAATACTCAGCGAAGTTAAGTCATTTATGTAAATCAGAAAAAGTAATGGACCCAACACTGACCCTTGCGGCACACCATCCGTAATATCTCTATAGTCGGACGTTACTTTTTCACCATTATCTGTTATTTGGACAACTTGCCCTCTATTAATCAAATATGACCTGAACCACTTCAGTGTCACACCCCTGAAACCATAGAACTCCAGCTTATCCATCAAGATTTTATGATTCACACAATCAAAGGCTTTTGCCAAATCACAGAAAACAGCCACCACATTCTTCTTAGCATTCAATCCAGAGTAAACACTTTCTAAGAGGGAATAAATTGCGTGTGAAGTGCTCTTGCCACTCTGAAACCCAAATTGAACAGTGGAAAGAATATTATATCTCTTAATAAAGTCGGTTGTACGTGTTTTAACTAATGTTTCTATTATTTTTGAAAAGACAGAAAGTAGATATTGGACGAAAATTGGAGGGTGTCTTATTTCTTCCACCCTTATCAAGAGGAATTACTAAGGCTTTTTTAAGATCTTCAGGAAAGACACCATCAAGAAACAAATCGTTAATGATGCTGGATAGGACCTCAAGAACTTTGAAGGGAAATTTTTTGACTGTCTTAAGAGATACTTGATCCAATCAGCAGACCCAAGCAGCTCAGCGGTTGTGTCTTCGCTTTGCATGCAGTGGGTCTCGGGTTCGAATCCCGGCTAGGTGCATGGATGTTTGTTTGTTTGTTTGATTTGGTTTGTGTGTGATGTTCGAGGCTTTGTCGACAAACCACAGTGGTGGTTTCTGACAAGAAAGCAGAAAAAAAAAAAAAAAAAAAAAAAATCCACTGGAGTTTGTGTTTTTCAGATTTTTGATTAAATTGAGAATTTCCTGGGGTGTACAGGGTTTTAAGTAAAAACTATTATTCATTTTAGTCTTCTTATCATTTAGGAACGATAATGCATCTCTGTCGGACGCCAAATCTTTTGTGACTGTGGATGCCAAAGCAACATAGAATTCATTGAGATGGTTTGCCACATCTGCTGGTGTAGTAATCTCTTTCGAGTCAACTTCCAGTTTGATGGCTGATTTTCTGCGATCCGATCCTCTTCCAGAAATGTCATTAATTATGGACCATGTTTTCCTCTTTGAATTCTTTGCCCTACCGATCTCTTCATGATAGTGATTTTTTTTCGCCTCACCAATAACTTTCTTAAGAATAGCTTTATATGCTTTGAAGTAACGAAGGAAATGATGATTGTCAGTATACTTACTGATATAATGTAGTGCTCGTTTGTTTCTGCAAGATATTTTAATTCCTC